GGTTTTTCGAGACAGGGTTTCTCTGTGTAGCTATGGAGCCCATCCTGGCACTCACTCTGTAGAGCTGGTCTCGAACTCACAGAGATCCGCCTGCCTCTGCTTCCTGAGTGCTGAGATTAAAGGCGTGTGCCACCAACGCCCGGCCAAAATAGGGGATTTTTATCTTCAGGTCTTTATAATCTACCTGAGAATGTAAAATGTACAAAACACTAAAGCAGAAAGCAAAGTATATAGTCCTCAAATGAAGCACAATTATGTGCCAAATGTAATTTATCTAATTTTAGGTATTTAAATGTTCTCAGTCCATGGCAACATATCTGAAAAAGAATAAAGTTTTATTTAACAAAAACTAAACTTCAAAATTTCTTCCTATGAAGGAGTGGAAATAGCTTCAAATACTCTTAAACACTCAGTCAGACAATCTCTTTGACGTACACTTTAGCTGGATTATTGTTGGTGCCAGCGCGAAGAAGAATTCAAACATCTGTTTCCCTAACCAATTTGTGGTTCCTGAGGATTTTAATTTCTCCGAGATATTTATAGATTGGGGAAAGTGCTTTCAGAAGACCCAAACTGTCAGTAATGTCTCCCTTTGATATCCATGCTTCACACTTGGGGAGAGGTAGATTTCCTCTATACTCCAAAGCAGTATGCTCTACAAAGACACTGAAATACAAACAAGAAACAAAAAAATAAGTGCCCAAAATAGTATCTTCATATGGGAAGCTATAGAAAGAAGGCTCACAGAATTTTGTCTATATACTTTTTTTGCAGGAGACTGTAAACCTTTTTTCTTTTTTGGCCAGTAATTTATCATAATTCGATACACAATACCATCAATAGACAACTAAACTGACTGAATTGAATTTCGTTTCCATTCCCTTTTCTGTTCTTAATTTTTCTGAAGAGAGAACACCAGAGATGAACAATCCATAATTTCAAATTGAGCATGAACTGACATGCCCAAGAATCAAAGTAAAGATTGCATTAGAAAATATCTAAAATGTCCAGTTCATTCAAAAGATGCCTTATATGTAACAGAACACAGTTCACTGGCAAGACACTAAAGCTGGTTCTGCTGGAGCTCCTGTCTTTGTGCTGGTTAGTGTTTGGTTAACCTGACACTGACTAGAGTCACTGGGCTGAGGAAAGCTCAAGTGAAACATGGCCTCCATCAGCCTGGCTGGGTGACATGCCTGTGGGGCATTGTCTTAATTGCTAATTTGATATAAGAGGATCCGGCCCACTGTGGGTGGCACCATCCCTAGTCAGATAGGCCCTGGGTGTATAAAAAAGGTGGCCTGGAAAGCAATCCAGTAAGCAGCATTACTTGGTCTGTGCTTCAGTTCTCCCCTGCAGGCCCCTGCCTTGAAATCCTGCCTTGACTCTCTTCACAAAAGACAAATAAACCATTTCCTTCTTTCCTTCCCTGAGATTCTTTTTTTTTTTTTTTCTTTTTTTCTCGGTTTTTCGAGACAGGGTTTCTCTGTGGCTTTGGAGGCTGTCCTAGCACTCGATCTGGAGACCGGGCTGGTCTTGAACTCACAGAGATCTGCCTGCCTCTGCCTCCCAAGTGCTGGGATTAAAGGCGTATGCCATCAATGCCCGGCCCCCTGAGATTCTTTTGAACACTGTTTTATCAAAGCAACAGAAAGCAAAGTAGGGCAGTGTGTTTGTATGAAGATTCTTTTGTGAGTAAAGATGGCTTCATCCTTAATTGAATGACATCTTGCCTATTTACAGATGATAGTATTGATTCTCATTTTGGCCCAGCCAAGAGAAATGTACAGCAGAAATCCACTTTAAAACACATAGAGGGGCTGACAGTGTGGCTAACTGGATAAAGGCCCTGCTGGCAGGAGAGAACCAGGTCCCAAGAATTATTCTCTGACCTCACACATACCATGGCAGCGCGCGCGCGCGCGCGCGCGCGCCCACACACCCCCCCCAACACACACACCCACAAACCCCCACACAACCACCCACTAAAATTTGTTTGTTTTTTTACCTACAAAGGCATATAGGAAGGAAGACTCTGGAGCAGAAAGGAAGGAAAGACTTGACTAGTTACTCAGAATACATGATGTATTCTGGCTCAGAGAATAAGACAAAATACAGTTTTCACTATTTTAAGAGAAATTAAAAAGTCATGTTACTAACACGGTGAAGAAGATGAATTGAATCTAAGATCAGAAGAAAAGTGAGCTGGTAGAAATAAAAACAAAGGGAAAGTTGTTGAGGTAAAAACTCTTATAGAGACGACAGCAGATAAGGGAAGCAGGCAGAGCGTGTTGCCATTCACTCGATTTGTGTGCATGTGCCTGTGTTTGTGAGTGCGTGTGAAAAGGTTTCACTGGTTGTTCATGATGGACTTGAACTTGTCCTTGCTTCCTGAGTCATTCATCACAATCATATAATATGCCTGGAGAAAAAAGACCTAAAGATAAAAAAGAAAACAGGTTTCATAAAATAGAAAAGTCCAAAGTTCACTGTGTATTTGCCTAACTCCATCAAGAATAATATATTTTTCTCTTGTATTATTTAACTCCAGGATCAAGTAAAACTATCATCAATAAGAAAAGAAATTAGTGGGGGAAATCCTCATGCTGATCAGAGATTTGCACTTTTCAAGTAGAATACACAATGAAGTAGAATACAATTGTTCTTACAGTGTTATGTTAAAAGGTGTCAGGGCTGGAGAGCTGACTCAGGTTTGATTGCCAGCATCCACATGTCTGCTCACACCCATCTGGAACTGCAGTTCCAGGGGATGCAATGTCTTCTGAGGGCACGGCACAGATGTGTACAGACATACATTCAGGCAAAATGTGGCACGGATTCTAATTTTTCTTAATGATAAAATCTCAGAGACAGATAGTGAGGTTAAAGCTGAAGATCAGAGAAGCAAAGCGGCAGCCACTAGAGAGTTCTCACCTCTACCAGTGCTCAGACCGAAGGGGCGATCCTGTCCTCAGACTGCATCTGTCTCCCTCCACCAAACCTCAGACTGCACTGAGCTCCTGTCCAGTCCTCCATCCCCTCGGTCTTATATTCCTCTCTAGTGTTGGGATTAAAGGCATGGGATCCCAAGTGCTGAGATCACCTTTGTGTGAGCTGTTTCTCTTTTAGACAGATTCAGTCTCATGTAGCCCAGAGTGGCTGGGATTAAAGCTGTGTGCCACCACTGACCTCTGTGGCTAACTAGTGTGGCTGCTGGGATTAATGGTGTGCACCACCACTGCCTGGCCTCTATGGCTGCCTAGTGTGACTAGCTTTGTACTCTGATCTTCAGGCCAACTTTATTTGTTAGATCATAAACAAAATACCAACACAGCAAAACTTCCATACTCATAAAATTAAATAATAAAAAAATGGTATCTTGTCAGCTGGGTCATTGTACACACCTAGAACTCCCAGACGTGCCGGATGTGCTGGCAGACTCCTGTAATGTGGACACTCAGGAGCTGAGGAATTGGGACTGCATATCCAAGGCTGGCCTGGACTACATAGTGAGACTCTGTTCTAAATAGGCCAGTGGAAAAATAAATAAATCCCTGCTACATTTCAGAGCCACTTAAATTAGAAACTCCACAGATATGTACTTTTGAACATATGATAATGTAGGAATTACAGCCTTCACGGAATTTCTTGAGCAAATTACTTTTAAGATTTCATACCACCAGTCAAAATGAATAACTTATAAATAGAGATATTACAGTAAAATAATTGGTGGTGGTTGAATTGAATCTGATTAAACATTTCAGGAATAACATTTTTATCATGTCATGTGAGCACTTCTGTAATTGAATTAAGTACGGGGTGCTGAAGTACATGGCGAAGAGGCCTTGGCCTGAATGAGGAGCTCGAGCAGAGAAAGTGGCACATGTCGGGACTCCCCAAAGAGCATGCGATACTTACACTGAGACTTAAAGTCAAAAGGTACAGGAAAAGCAGAAGGGCATACATCATAGAG